GGTTTCATACGCTTTTATTGTATTTATGGTAGTGTGACATCTTAACAGCAACTCAGTTAAATATTATTTGATTCCAGTTGTCCTTTATCAAAAAGCAACACTGTAAATAACAGCTGTTTACAGAAGCCTAATGACTGTCACATGAAAAAGATTTATTATCATTAATTAACATTTGGTGCAAGATTAATAACATTTATTATCTTAAGGTAGTAATTCTCAGAAGGGAATCACTACCTTACCGTAGTGGAGGGGTTTGTGTGTCCCAGGGATCCCAGGGGCTATGTTGTCAGGGGGCTTTTGCCCCCTGGGAGGGTCACCCGTGGTAAACTAGTCCTTAGTGAGGGACCAGGATTCAAAAGATCCCTATAAATAGAGCATCAAGGGAACAGTTCACCTTGCGCGCTTAGGGTTATCAGGGCCCTGCCCTGGAGTCAGGCCCGTGGAGGGTGCCCGAGGTCGAACGTCTGGTGAACGCGCCTTAGTCTATGGGGCCCGGCCGAGCACAGTTCGAAAAAGGTCTGGAGATCAACAGACAAATTGATGCTGCTGCAGTGATGACGCTGTACCAGTCCATCGTGGTGAAAAGAAAGCTGAGTGTAAAAGCGAAGCTCTCAATTGCCCGAGGGCAAACATCTAAACACGCATTGAAGCACACAGAGAAACATACAACCATGAAGCAGAACGTGTCAATGGACAGAGAGAAACAGAGGGCTTGACTACACAACACAATGACGAGTGAACAGGAAATACATTGGAAACACAGCTGAGACAATTTAATGTAATGAGACAGAGGCAGCAAAACTAAACACACTGAAAATGGAACTTAAGACTGTCAAAATAAAATAGGAAACACAATGGCACAAAGAGGGAACAAGCCAATAGGAACATAAACACAGACGCACAGGGAGGGACACAGAGGACAAAGACACAAGGGGACCCTATATGTACAAGAAGCTTGTACATTTGGAGTTAGATGTTGCATTGAACATGGAGAACACTTCCCAATCTCTTCATCACCTCAGAGTTATGAAAAAAGCTAATTAATATAACAATGATATCAGGAGATATAAGTATCAGGTCAGAAATAAAAGTTGGATTGGTGCATTCCTATTTCTTTGTGTTGACCAAGAAATCATAGTACCTGGTAAGTTGTAGAAACATAACAGATCTCTGTTGATTCCTGATGTCCAGCATTAAAAAATTATACATATACTATAATTTTAAAATGAACCGACTTGTTTAGCGACATCTGATTTTGTGACTCCACAGACCAACAACAGTGAACTCATCTACAAAAACACCATCATGACCCAGAACAGCTCCTCTGACATCATCACTCGTCACAACCAAGTCTACATCGACTTCTCCTGCGTCCAAACTCAGCCGGACATCAAGACTGCCACCTTCAGGATCAGAGACAGGTGTGTGGTTGAATTACTTTAAGATGTGAAGCTTCTCATGAGGTTTGTGAGTCAGAGAAAGCTGAAGTGTGTTTGTGTTCTGCAGCTCTGTGATCCAGCACATCACATCTGGAGT